GAAAAATAAAATGTTCAGAAATACGATTTAAAAATCCCTATTTATTTTTAGAAAAAAAGAAATGGTCACTACTTTCTCATATTTTGTGGGACATTTTATCTGGGTCTTTTTAAACTTCGAAAAACAGAAAAGAACAACAAAGTGAGTTTAACTTTAAAGTCAATAATTAAACAAAAAGGCAAGCTTCGTTGGTAGCTTCGCTCTTTGTCTAAGAATGAAAATTTAAAAATACAGCAACAAGATGGATTTAAAAAAAAAAGAAAGATACAAAAAAGATACTGCCATTAATTGTTTTAATTAAGTTTTTAATTGCATTTAGAAAGTAAACAAAAAATCACGAATAAAATAAATAAAGATTAAAAATACTTATGACCTAACAATAACATTTACAAATGAAACAAAGAAAGTTTTTTTTTTAATTGTGTAGTAAACTAAATTTTTGTTTGTTTCTTAAGCAAAGAAACAGATTTCGTTTAAAAAATAATTACACACATAAAAATTAAAATGTATTTTTAAAAAATCTTAATTTCTTTTTTTTTTTTTTTAATCAAAACATCTTTTCGCAAACGGAAACCTGATTAATTAATGCAAAAATTTTGTCAACTTTCAACAAAAGAAGTTGAGATGGGGAACAAAATAAAAACAAAGAAATCAGTCAATACTAGACATTGAGTTCTGTTTTAAGTGTTAGTTTTAAAGATTTAAAGTAAACCCTAAAGAAAATAACACAGGTGAAAGAAAAGTAGAAATAAAAATGAACCTTTTCTTCAGTCATATGACAAATAGTTTGCATTTAATAACGAGATAACAACTTTGAGGGACAAGGTTTTTGTTTTTGTTTGTTTCTTAATAACTTTGATAAGCAGTTCATAATTTAGTGCATCGGATTAAGAAATAAAATAAGAGTCTGGTGTTTATTTTCTTTCTTTGTTACAGAAAGAAAGTTTGTTTTTTTTTTTCATTATTTAAAATTACGTATGAAGAAGCGAAGACGTAAAAATAGCTTCTTTTTTTCTTCCTTCTTCCTTGTTTTGTTGGGATGTCATAATGACTGCAGTAATTGCGTGTATTAAAACTCAAGGGTTTTTTGTTTTGTTTTTTTTCTAAAATCTGTTTTTATTTTGTTTTTTTTAGTCAGTTAAGTTTTAAGAGTAAACAAATGAAAGTTTTTTTTGTTTATCATTCTGGACGATTCAGTTTTGTTTGTTTATTAATTAGAAATTAAACTTTATTTTAGAGTTTTAAAGTTGAACTAGTTCGTAAAAATTAAAACTAAAATTAATAATAATTTAAAAATTGTTTTTTTTTTTCCATGTATTATTTTGTGAATGAAACTTTTAAAATAAAAATACAACCAACAAAAAGGAAAGTGTTTTACACTGTTTACTTTATTTACTTTTTACGGTAATACTAAACTGCTGCTACCACAAACTAATTAATTTTTCCAAAAACTATTTTAAAAGCTTGTTGTCAATTAACAACAATTTTTTTTAAAAAAGTAGAAAATAAAAAATTAAAAAAACAACGTACCACTGTGATGGGTTTTTTTGCCATTTTACTTGAGATGAATAATGACTGAAAAAATCATTCTCTGTTTTCGCCATTCATCAAGTCACTATTGCTGAAAAAAGGCCAACCAACTGCTACAAACAACACAAAAATGTCTATGCTTTTCTCAATATTAGCTTTTTTTGTCTCAATTCCCGGTGCGTAAATGCCGTGGTTTTGTCTCAGGGTTTTCTCTTTTTTTTTTTCTTTTTTTTTTAATAATTGGTTCCTCTGTTTACACCAACCATTTGTGATTTGTTCTCTTACGTCATTCACCTAATTGATATTCATGAGCTTCGATTGGTCAAGAACGTGGGTGTGCAAAAGCCTCAACAAGTACCCGAGAGTTGTGTAAACAAAATTACATGATTTAAGAAGAGTTGTTTACGTGCAGATGTCCTTGTGAAAGAAACTGCAAAGCTAAAGCAGCTGCAGCCAGAAACGCTTCGGCTTAAGTAATACATTGTTTTACTTGTAAAACCTGCAACAATTTGACAAAATTGTTAGAATTAGCACTAAAACTTAGTACGTAATTGTACTTTGTAAAATAAAAGAGCTCGTGTTTGTGATTCATTGATGCGTCACGATTTTCTCTCTCCTGTAATAATTAATTATGAACTCGACTGACATAAGGGCATTGGTTTTGAGTTCCCACTCTGTGCTAAAATGGCGAAAAAAAATCAATAGAATAATTTTTAAGAAGCAAAAATATACAGGAAGAAATCTGATTTTTTTTTTTATATATTGGTAAAAAAAATAAATAAACAAAAAACTTTACAATCTAAAAATCATTGATTCCACATTTTTCTTCAGAGTAAGAATATTTTGTCTGAGAATTGAAATGGATTGCTTTATTCAAAATTTGGAGTCAGTCTTCTTAAGTCCTCCAGTCGAATTCTTATTTTATAAATAGCCTTTTCTGAAATTTTGTATCAGTCAAACAAAACAAAAACATTTTTAAATATCTTTATTATATGCTTTTCTGTTCAAACGAGCATCCTTAGTTGTTATAATCTCTCGTGCTCATTTTATTGAATGGCTTAGGCTCGGAAATTTGCATAAGCCACAAATTTGTTTTGCAAAATCTCTGAGCTCCGAGATCAAGTTGTTTTTAAATTGTAGCTTTTGGATCAGCCATATTAACTTTTACCCGGGGAGCAGCCTGGCCTTCGGGCTGGGTTGCGACCATGGCAAAGTCTAGTTTGGACCATATCAGGACCTGCTAAGACAAGCCAAGACCAGAACTTGACTAAGCTTTGACCAGCTTGGACATGTTATGACCAAAACATTGACTAAGCCTTGACCAGCTTGGACATGTTATAACCAATCTTTGACCAGTACCCTATGTGGAAACGCTTGGGTTTTCCCACGAAAAACGACCTTGTGTCACGTCTTGACCACGGGGAGTCAAGTAATCCCACGAAAAACGACCTTGTGTCACATCTTGACCTTGTGGGAGTCAAGTAAATACCGCCATATTTACTTTCATGTATTTTGCACATGAAACATGTATGAGAGTGTTTTGTTCCAGGAGGTAAGCCGTATTCCCTCCTATAGAACTCTCCTGCCTTCTTCAGGTTACTGCTGTTGTACATAGTAACTGTCTCAGAATTTTGAACAGAATTCTTTATTAAATCAATGTGGGTTGACTGTTCTCATATTACTTTCCATGCTTAGGGAACATTTCATATCAGTTAATATTCACTAGTTTTATTCACTTTGGTGTCATTCATTCTCAATCCTTTTTGAGCTCAATATTGCCAGAATACCAGATCAATGCTTTAATCCAATTTAAATGAGCACATAGCCAAGTGGTTAGAATGTTCACTTTCTAGCCATGAGATCTGGGTTCAAATCTCACCATGGTCAATTTGTTAGGAAGGTGACTTCTTGATGTTATCAGCCTAGGAGAGGCAACCACAGCATGTGACACCTTTGGAAAGTCCCTGAAAAAGCATACCATGGGTTGACCCAAGACTCATGATTAAAATTGGGTAGGTGGAACTATTTGGGAGCCATCAGTGGTTGAGCTAGTATGAAGTCACAAGTAATTGTGACCAAGGGTTTCAGTATACTGGCCTTGTTCACACCAGATAACATGCTAAAGTTAAAGTGTAACTAAGGCCTACTCAGCACAGTTGCAGTATAAACCTTAGGTGGGCTCTGTAGTGTTGAACAAACACAAATGTGCTTGAGCTGGCATCTGAAATAGGGATTGGCTAGCTGCTCAGGTAGACAAGCATACTCGGATATGAGTGTTCAATGATTACATTACTAATCCACTTTAATTTATCAAGAATTCCTCACTTCAAAAATAGTAACAAAAATCATTAGAATTTTTTAACATTTTTTGCTATCTCTGTCTCATAAAAGCCTTGACATTTGTATACATAATTCATATATGAAATGTAACAATTATTACAGGAAATTCATTCAGAGAAAATATAAAAAACATTGACATAAAATTGCAAGTTTTTCATTTTAGAATCATACAGTCAAATCACTCTGAAAACACCAGTTCTCATTTGATCAGCAAAGTTGTACTGAGCTCAGTCAATACTTAGATGTGGTACTGCAACAGACTTTGAATATGGTTTAATGATTCCATTTTCTGTACTGATGACTGCTATAAAACTATAGCTACATGCTTTTCCCAAGGTTATTCGTGCAAAAGTGAATGCAATAAACTAAATCCAAATCTAGACTTTTCCCATTTGTGTAGGTTTGTTTATTTTAAAAATCAGAATTCATAATTTAGGTTTTAGTTCAACTGAAACACCAACCACTGGCACACGACCACATCAGCCATCAAACAGACCAAATATATTTTATATGCTTTAGTGTCTTGTTAACTTAATTTGTTGTTCAATACTTCATTTATTAAAAATTTTTTTAAATTATTTTGACTCAAAATAAAGGCAAATTTCTAAATAAAACTGATTTCCAAAAAAGGTTATTTTTTGGAGGTGTTTTGTTTGGGTGGGGCAGGGGGCTGGATTTCTCTTTTTTTTTTTTTCTAACTTGTTTCACTTTGTTTAATGAAGACCTTTTCTTCTTATTTTTTGCCTTCTGTCTACTTTTCCCAAAAATGAAAGACAAAAGGGAATCTGATACCATTTCCTTGTTTTTTTTTCTCTCTCTCTCCTGTATTTGTGCTCCTTATCTTTTCTCTCCCCATCTTACATATGCACACAAAAGTATACACACATATACCCATGTACACACACATGCCTACTGTTGTAATACACTGAATTAAAATACAGTATTTTACAACAGGTATGGCATAATTTTTTCTGCCCTCAAATTCACTAGCAGATTTCCCGCTCTTCTATACAAATGTGAGGCCTTCCTTGAAATTTATCACTGACAAATATTTCCTGAATATTCGTTACTGTGCTAAATTCAACTAAATATGCCATCAAATATATAATTTACACTTACTGCCACATCACATTAAAACACCATTTCCCATACAATCACTGAAGTCAAGCAACATCAAGCCTGGTCAGTACCTAGATGGGTGACTGCTTGGGAATATCAGGTGCTGTAAGCTTGGATGTGCGGGTAATATAACGGATAATGGTTCAGAATTGTTAATTAGAGAGCTGAGTTCTAATTCCAGTTGGGTTCATGATATTCACTTATGCATAAATACCCTTGGAAGATGTATGAATCCACCTTTTCTCCCCCAGCTATGGGTTAATTAGTAAGACTTGTATCACTAAATCATTATCATCTTCCAAAAATTCCTACAATTTAATAATATTTAAATAACTGGCAAAGTGTTGATAAACAGTAAAAAATGAATGAATCAATCCTTCAATCAAATATATAATTTGTAGATTTAATTTTGTCATTTCAAGATATGGGATGTAATTATAATCCCTGAATAGAATTTCAATGTAAGTTTCATAAGAACAAGTCTTGTCACATAAATTTGTGGTTAGGTTTTGAAGGGTGAAAATTTGGCCTTGTAAAAATATTCAACTCATCCACAAAGAAAAAAAGAAAGGAAAAGAACAAAGTAGATAAACGATGAATCCAAAATTTTTAGATTTCAGAAATTGTTGAGGTGTTTCACAAAAATTGTTTTATTTTTTAGTCCAGTCTCTTCTTCTAAAGACCATTTTGATACAACAGGAAATAGACTAAATACAGCAAGATTTCTCACTGATTTTAACTTCTTCTGTCACATCCGTCTGCTACTTAGACTACTTGATATATTATCCTTAATGTTTACCTGGCACACAGATGTAGTAGCAGACATAAAATATTTATTTAACAGAAAAATGCTCAAACCCATTTTAAAGTTTGTTGCTTGAAGTGTATCAAATTTTTAATGACTTAATAAACTATACATTTTTTTTACAATGATATTCACCCTGTACAAAGCCTAAGAGCCACTCAAGGTAGCAGGTTACAGAATAAGTGGCACAGTTTATATGGATATGTGGGGAAAATAAGGTTTAACCCTAGACTTGAATAGGTTAAGGTTATAGTGATCATGGAAGCATCCTCTTGGGAATTTGGTTCCACAAAGCAGCATCTTTTAGGTTTTCTTTTTTTTTTTTTAACTACTGCTCAGTTATTGCTAGACTGATTTCCATTTCAAGTTTGTGCTACCTGACCTAACGATTGAACTCACAATTACTTTGCAACCAAATTCATGAACCAACATTTTAATCCTAAACTCTATTTTCCTTGCAAAAACTTGGAAGTGTATTTCCAGTTAAACTTAAAAGTTAAATGACAGGTATTTTGCACCTTAATTTTTTTTAATGTTTCTTTTAAAATATTTGGATAGAGTGTTGTAGAGTAAGAGGCACAGATTATGGGGATGTGTGGGGAAGATAATTGAACCTAGACTTGAATAGGTTAAGATTATAGTGCTTGGGGAAGCATCCTCTTTGGAATCAGTTTTTGGGAAGAAGTTGCTTGAGTGAAACTTACATCTCATTAATGGAATACAAAGAGAATGAGTGTGATTCACTACAATGTGTATGGCATGGTGAGTCTTAGCCATAAAGGTTAGAATTTGGTTGAGTTAAGGAATGTAGTTCATCTGAAGACTTTCCATGGAAATAGCAATTAGAGTAGCAAGAGGCTGGCAACATTTCATATGTGAGAAAGGGATTGCATGATAGAAAATAATTCATCACTCACAAGGAGACATTGTATCAAAACTGTCAAGGGAAGACTGGACAACACCTGCCCATGTAGAGCATCTGTAATCCATACATGCTGAAAAGCTGAAACTTTAACGATTAATAATTTGATATAAGTTTTAAATGCTGTGTAAATTTTTTTCTCCATAAATTATCAGTTAATTAAATTTTATTTTAAGTTGGTATCCTCTCAGTAAGGATATTATATTCTATTAATAATTTTCAATAACAAACACTTTTATTTTGTCTGAAATTGATTAATTAACAAAATATGGTAATTTCATAAGGTGTTTGCTATAATTTGAATCTGTTTAAATATTTGTTTTTATATTTTAAAAGTTTTTCTTCACAAATACTACAACTTCATTGTTCTTTGCTTTCAAAAATGAGTTTTTATCATGAAAGGAATGCTTGGTATTTGCAAGCACACCTTTAGCAGGCTATGAATAAAAAACAACATATTGTGATACAGCATGCATCAAATTTTGACATTCTCATTTCTCTTTCAGATATATTGAGAGCATTAACAAAGCAACTTCCAACATGACACAGAAAAAAAATGCTGTGTTTATGGTATTAGCTACCAACTTGCTACCAACATTGAGATAGCAAGCATCATGAAAATGGTCAGGTGAAGAGGAAGAACATTTGTTGGCCCTGTATAAACCCTATGGAGGTATCCACAGTAGAGCACAATAAGTTCACATCATCTGTGATGGTCTAGGGAACAATTAGGGCTATCTATCTTCTGATGGGTCTCAGGGCCAATGCCATTACCTATAGAAAGGTATTGGATGATAGGTTCCGGATTATTGATATGGCCTGATGGTTGGGCCCTGGATTAAGAGGATAGCCTGATGGTTAGACCCTGGATTAAGGATATAGCATGATGGTTAGAACCTGGATTAAGGGAGATGGCCTAATGATTTAGCCTTGCATTAAGGGGATGGTCTGATGGAAGGATCTTAGATTAAGAATATGGCCTGATGATTGGACCCTGGATTAAGGATATGGCCTAATGGTTAGGCCATGGATTAAGGAGTGGCCTGATTGTTGGGACCTGGATTAAGGGAATGGCCTAATGGTTGGGACCTGGATTAAGAATATGGCCTGATGATTGGGCCATGGAATAAGGATATTGCCTGATGGTTAAGCCCTGGATTAAGCATATGGTCTGATGGTTGGTCACTGGATTAAGGAGATGGCCTTATGGTTAGGGCCTTGATTAAAGATATGATCTGATGGTTGAACCCTGAATTAAGGGGATAGCCTGATGGTTTAACCATGGATTAAGTATATGGCTTGACATTTAGGCCCTGGATTAAGGAGATGGACTGAGTGTAAAGCCCTGTATTAAAATATGGCTTGACAGGCCCTGTATTAAGGAGATGGCCTGATGGTTGGGCACCGGATTAAGGATATGGCCTGATGGTTGGACCCTGGATTAAGGATATGGCTTGGTGTTTAGGCCCTGGATTAATGAGATGGCATGATGGTTAGGTCCTGTATTAAGGAGATGGCCTGATACTTGGATCCTGGATTAAGGATATGACCTGATGTTTGGGCCCTGGATTAAAAATATGGCCTAATGGTTGAAACCTGGATTAAGGTGTGGCCTGACGGTTAGGCCCTGCATTAAGAACATGGCCTGATGATTGTGTACTGGATTAAGAAGATGGCCTGATTGTTAGGCCCTAGATTAAGGGGATGGCCTGATGATTAGGTCCTGGATTAAGTATATGCCCTGATAGTTGGGCTCTGGATTAAGGGAATGGGCTGATAGTTAGGTCCTATATTAAGGAGATAGCCAGATAGTTAAGCCCTGGATTAAGGATATGGCCAAGTGTGTTCCAGCAGGACTCTCTTCTCTCACACATAACCCATGAATTTTAATAATCACATGAGAGACATGAATTAATAATATAATAATAGTGAATACTGTAGTTCTGTGCAGCAATGCATACGATTCAACATTGCACCTTGTGACCCACTTTATAACCATGGCTCCTATGAGCAGACATTCCACTCATATTGAATGGACGAGTCTATGTTCAACAATTAGTGTAGAGAAGGTCAGTTATCTTTGCACACAACATAGACCAATTTACAGCCCACACTATCAAGGATTTGTTGAAAACTACTATTGTGGGTGTGGCGGCCAACATGAATAGGACTCACCTAATCAAGGTATTCACTCACTTCAAAGGAGACCACATTCAAGCCAGTCTGAAGCATGTTTTATTGAATAAGCTTTTCCTTTTTTTTCAAAATTAATCATGTGTACAATTTATTTTTAAATATACTGATTTTTGTTATTTATACTATTTACAATGTTTGGACTGTTATCCTCATCTTTGTTGTTATATTCATAATATTTCAGCCATTGCACACTCCAGCCTTCTTCAGGTGATTGGAATTTTGAATCAAACTCTTTATTTCATTCACCAGGATAGAGTGTTCTAGTTCCACATGCCATGGCTCTTCCAAATATCTCAGTATCAGTTGTTTCCATTTAACTAAACTCTCCAAATTTTTGTTCACCTCTGCTGTTGAACACACAACTCTTTGGGTCAAGTTACTGGATTACTTCAGTTAATGCTTTTATCCAATGGACCAGGTGTCCTTGATGACATCAGTGTATGAATTTTGGGGACTTATAAACCTAATGTCACAGTAAACATTTTTTACCAGAACTCATATTATAATTTGTTGTTATTATTGTTTTTTCTCTAGCACTCTGTATTACTGGTTTCCATACTATATTCATTCCTGAGGAAGGCTGGAGTGTACAATTGCTGAAACATTGTGAATATGGAAACAAACTGAGGATAACAGTCTGAACATTGTAAATAGTGTAAATAGTTACAATACCTCATCTCAGAAATATAGACAGATGTTGAAGATGAATATGGCAATAAAGATGAGGACAACAGTTCAAACAATATAGATAGTGTAAATAATTACAATACCTCATCTCAGAAATATAGACAGATGTTGAAGATGAATATGGCAATAAAGATGAGGACAGCAGTTCAAACAATATAGATAGTGTAAATAATTACAATACCTCATCTCAATTAGACAATGTTGAAGATGAATATGGCATCTCAAAAATAATATAGAAAAATAATTAGACAGATGTTGAAGATGAATATGGCAATAAAGATGAGGACAACAGTTCAAACAATATAGATAGTGTAAATAATTACAATACCTCATCTCAGAAATATAGACAGATGTTGAAGATGAATATGGCAATAAAGATGAGGACAACAGTTCAAACAATATAGATAGTGTAAATAATTACAATACCTCATCTCAGAAATATAGACAGATGTTGAAGATGAATATGGCAATAAAGATGAGGGACAACAGTTCAAACAATA